CCAACATTTTTTCCTGAGGGACATGTGCCCGACGGAATGCCCTGTAGCGTCGCACACTTCTACAAAATCAAAAGCCCAGGGTTTCGGTGACATCCAACATTCATGTTGACCTAGATAGTTTAACTGGACTTGCAAAAGTGAAGGTACCCGGTCAAGCATACTGGCCATTTGGCACGCTGTCGTGCTACGTTGCATTGCTCGTGTTCGACTCTCTATCCAGTAAGTTGGAACACAACAGTATCTCGGCAAAACCACCCAAATATATTACTCCATCCGACCATGCTATTGTGTTCTACCTTCGCCTCATATTCGTGGGTAAACAGCAAATTCGAATTAATAGTAACTGGTATTCGCGTCTGTCAAGTTCGCAACAGGACAAATCCTAAAAAAAAATCAAATTTAATAGCAAGCGGAAATAAAGCAATGGAAGGTGGGAAAGTTCAGCATTCCAATTCTCCAGGCGTTTTTCCCAAGAATCTTCGCTACCTAGATTATCGCCACATGGTCACTTCCTTATTTTACCTTGGTTATTCCCCTTTCAGTGAAAGTGGCCTTATTTCCTTCCTCTCTGCTTTCCCCTGCCGAATTCGCCTGTACCTAAAGTGGCAAAAAATGCTGGTAACATTTTGGAAAACATTTGTGTACCACATAGGTCTAACATATTCAGTATTTTACAGGAGTTGCGTACATGTTTACAGAATAACAGAGGATTCTTTCTGATGCGCAGTTCTGTTTGATTCTATGGCAGAGTATGAAGTAGTCATGGAATGCATGGCCCCAATTCACTGTCTCTCAATACGTATCCCTAAAAAAGTAAAGGTTAACAGCTACACTAAGATAATTAGTAATTTCTGGGATGTACTATTGATGACGAAAGGTGTATCTTAAAGTTTGTCTAATTCATCAAACTTACACTTAGAATGTCTTGTATGTTTTCTTGTTGCGTATATTCTACTAAAAATGGCGTGAATATCGGTGCAATTCATAAATCAGGTCTATAAAGGTTTAGAAGGATACGTACCAGTACTTCGCCTGCTAACGCGTTGCTTGATCTAGTAACGAGTATTAATCTCTCACCACTATGCAGAAGAATTTGTACTTCACTTAAATTAAGTCTATGTTACAGTAGAATCGGTGGAGGATTGCCGCTCTTTATGGAGTACATGGTTAAACTCCGATCATGCACTAGTACGGGCTCGTGTATGTCTGCGCCTTACTGGTGGCAGGAAACAGGCAGCAGTGAAGTCTGTCTATGGTCGATTGGAAGGTGAGAATGTCAGGTCCGAATTTGGGTAAGGGATAGCTAAGCAATGCTTATCGTGAAGAAACCTGATGTGACATTAAGCCTGTAGAAACAGTCTCTGTCTTCGTTTAATGAAGGAGCTGACGCTATTTGGCCTTCAAGTCAAACAGCAAAGGGAAACAAAGAAGTGGAATGTGGGATACTTCAGCATTCAGCACAACTTCTATTCCCTGAGAGTTGTTAAACCTGGAACGCCCTTCCTGGAGATGTGACCCAGGCTGCTTAGTCTGAATCTTTTAAACACCAGTCGGGTACCCACTTGACGTATGTCTGGGATCTGCCCAGAACTAACTGAATTTTCATGTTTTAACCGCCACTTTTTCTTCTTTCTTTACTCGTACACAGGTTAACAACCCCAAGGAGTATTAATGCACGGATTGTAGACGTGGAAGCTAGTTGGGCGAAAGCTTCTTCTATTCCGTCAACAACGATTTGAATCATCTGCTAGCTCCTCTCTACCAACTAAACCCATACTATCCACTTTTACTTTTAGGATGATTCCCATATAACCTTCCCACTATCTTGATGTACCTATTCACGTACCTATACAGACAGGAGTTATGACGAACACCTTATCTTCCCGATACCCAGAGCTGCCTAATCCCCCCACAGACTGCAATCACTAGCCCATTAAAAACATTTTTAGGATTTGTCCTGGTGCGAACTTGACAGACGCAAAGACCAATCACTAATTATTCGAACTTGTTATATACCCACGAATACGAGACCAAGGTAGAACACGATAGCGTAGTCGGATGGAATAGTATATTTGGATGGTTATGCCAAAATACCGATGCGTTCCAACTAACTGGCTAGAGAGTCGAATACGAGCAATGCAACGTAACACGACAGCGTGCCAAATGGCGAGGATGCTTGACCGGGTGCCTTCAGCTTAGCGAGTCCAGTTAAACTATCAAGGTCAGCATCGATGTCGAAAGTCGTCAAACCCTAGGCTACTGATTTTGGGGAAGTGTATGACGCTACAGATCACTCCCCCCCTAGTGGGTTCGTGAGGACCCTAAGACGATACCAGCCGGAAGTAAAAACCCAGTGGTTTCTCCACTGGTAAAACTCTTCCGATGGGCTGACTGCGTGAGGTGGCCCCTGGTTGTCTGAACCTTATTCTAGGGTGTCGTGGCGATTAAATAAATAAAATACAATAAATGGAATTGTACGTCGGTCGCGGTCATCTGTTCCTTTCGACGTTCCGTCCAGTGCTCGTTGCACCTGGAATATAAATAAAAGTCTTTAATACCACGAAAACGTTGCGTAAAAATGGGAATTATTTATATATCAACATATCGAAAAATAAAAATTTACGCTTATCTTTACCGTTTTTTTTAAAATTTCATTACATGGTAATAAAAATTGATATAAAAAGGCAAAGTATACGAGGGTTTGTATTGATGTATCGGGTAGGAGTCCGGAGTTGTTTTGGCGTTGAGCCTTCGGTAATCACCGGTTGGACGCCAGTCACTGCTATCCTTTTGGGAACCATGTGCAATGGCGATGCCCAAGGATTGTTCGACGGTCTGATAATGCCCAGGTCGAGCATGTGGTCGAATTCATTTTTCGCCGTTTGGAGCTTATCGGGGGCTAGACGGCGCGCTTTGGATGCCACAGGTGGACCTGTGGTTGTGACGTGATGCATAACATTGCTGGTTATGCACGGAAGAGTGTGCTTCGGTTGCTGTAACTCTGGATATTTCTCCAGAACTGCCTGGTAGGACGCGTCGTCTGATTGTTTAGTCCTAACGATGGCTAAACTCGGACCTACATAGGTGGTGCCGCCAATGGATAACTTTGTGCTGTTATCTATCAGTCGTCGACGGCGAGCATCTACGAGTAGATCGTAATGGTTTAGCAAATCTATGCCAATGATGGGCATAGAGACGTCTGCCAGGAGGAAAATCCAGTGGATAGGTTTGCGTAAACCTAAGTTGAGGTAGGCATACCGTCTCCCGAATGTCGCGATTGCCTTGCCGTTGGCTGCTTGAAGATTGAAGGATGGGTCAAGATGACGCTCCTTTGTCGTTGCTGGAAGAACGTAACTTCTGCGCCGGTGTCGACGAGGTAGCGGACTTTCGTTTTAATATCCGTGACGTAGAGCAAACGGCTTTTTCGGCCGGCTACGGTTGCCGTGAGCACGTGCCGGCGTGACCGTTTCCCGAGTTCGGGTCCTTCTTAAAACGGCATGGTTTACGACATTTTCTGGCTTCATCCCCGTAAGTGTTATGAAACCAGCACCATTCAGGGTTTTCCACCCTGTTGGGTTTCGTTTTAGGGCTACCACACGACTTGCTGCGATGCGCCAAGGTGCGTTTCCGTGAAGTGCTACGTGATCTAGGACTTCGAGATCGTAGCAACCGTCTCACAGAGTTGCACAACTTGGTCACCTCTGAATCCTGGCGCTCTGTTTTGTCGCAGATAGAATATACGTTGGAGACTGGTCTGCTGGATATCTCCAGTATTTTATCTGCTGAGGCTGCCAGGTCGTCGAGTGGGACTGACTGGAGTGTCACCAACACGGTTTGCACCGGTTGTGGTAGTTTCGAGAGAAATAGTTCTCGGAAGAAACCATCGTCAAATGTTCGTGCACCGATTACTTCTCGCATGCGTGCGAGGACTTCAGTAGCTGAGTGGCTGCCTAGCTCGATGTTACGAACAATTCGTCTAGACGTTGGCGATCTGTGAGATCGCTTTTCTTCAAGAGTGCGGCCTTTAGAAGTGCATAAGGGTCACTTACTTCAGGATTAAACATGTTTGCTGTAACATACCTGTTTAATTCTCGCGGTAGTGACCGGATGACAGCAAGAAATCGAGAATGAGGATCTGAGACACCCTGTCCTCGAAAATCTGCCTCGGCATACAGAAACCATGTTTCTGCATTGTCTGGCCAATATGGCACGAGTTGGATCGTGTTCGTAGTCGACTTAATACGAATAAGCTTGGGAGTGTGGTCGGACATGAGAAAGTGTAGTAAATGGATATATAAATGTTATCGAAATGAAAACAATAAACAAATATAAAATGGAACAGGCTCACCAATTCAATACTTGTTATTGTTCGGGATATGTGATCACGTCGGGTTGATCACGTCGGGCTCACCAATTTAGGATTTGTCCTGGTGCGAACTTGACAGACGCAAAGACCAATCACTAATTATTCGAACTTGTTATATACCCACGAATACGAGACCAAGGAAGAACACGATAGCGTAGTCGGATGGAATAGTATATTTGGATGGTTATGCCAAAATACCGATGCGTTCCAACTAACTGGCTAGAGAGTCGAATACGAGCAATGCAACGTAACACGACAGCGTGCCAAATGGCGAGGATGCTTGACCGGGTGCCTTCAGCTTAGCGAGTCCAGTTAAACTATCAAGGTCAGCATCAATGTCGAAGTCGTCAAACCCTAGGCTACTGATTTTGGGGAAGTGTATGACGCTACACATTCACCTTACCTCTCCGGAGCTAAAAGCACGAAGCAAAGAGATTCCTTTATTCTCTGCAGCAGCGAACTGAAGAACGCGAACTAGCCCCTTCCTCGAAAAGACACGAGAGATCAGAAATCACTATTTTTCTACGCTAGCACTGTTAGTTTAAAGCTAATCATACCTTCAGATTTGCAGCGCGCGATCCGTTCCTTCAAGGACTTCTCTGGACTTTCAGTAGTCATCCAGTAGACTTTTTTCATGGTTAGTATATCGATTTAAAAGCCTACCCACTGTGCATATTTTTTGTTTTATTTTTTCTGGGGCTGAGAACTAGCTTTTCTGCCTGATAAGTTAACGAAGTCCTGGTTTTCAGTAAGAATATTCTTTTTCGAGCAATTATAATGCTCTAACTTGTAAGTTCGACAAGTTCCACCATATTTTTAAGTGTATTTCTGTTTTTGCTACGGCACTGAGGCCCAAAATGTATTCCTAGTCTAGAAAGGTCTATTGACGCTTGGTTTTTAAACTTTTCCAAGGTTTCCAGAGTATTTTGTGTTGGATTTTCCCCCTTTGTCATACCTTTCCGCTTCGACGATCGCCAAACAGCAGATTTGCTGGAAACAGAGCTGCTATCATTCTTTCCAGGTCGGTATGCAGTGTGATTCCTGAGACAGATGGTTTCACGACGCCTGCACAGACTTAACACAAGCTGGGTACAGTATGCTCGGATAGCTTGGTAGCAAGTGGCATTGCAGTTTGTCTAGATTCTGACTGAAAGAATTTTTAACATCATCAGCTTGTTGACGGATATAAAAAAAGACTGATGATAAACCGAAAAGGGGAATGAGAAGCTGGAAACTCTAGAGCAGCACCTCGGTACCAGTGCTTTGGAGTTTGGAAATATACTGATGGAGAAAATCTTCATCATCCAACTGTAGCAAGGAAGTTGTTTGACTAAAGACATGATGAACCTCAGGAATGCAATGTGACCGACCGTTTTACAATCATTTAATACGATTTTATCGTCAGCAGATAAGGCACGAAATCCAATGGCGTACGAAGTAAGGATGCTCAAGACAGAGAGTAGACATCCATTGTAAGAAATAAAAGCAGTTAGGTTTTATCTCAAGTCAAAATCATCGGGTTCAGGAAGGCAGGAAGCTTCAGGAACAGCTCAAGCAGGTAATATGGAAATGCGTAAGGCCAAAACTAAGTCTACAGGAAATCAAATCGCAAGCAGACCACGCGAGTCACTCACAAGTATGTCAAACAAGCAGATGGGTTACCTACAAACGAGGTCAAAGTGAGAGAAAAAACTAAAGTTCGACAGAAAACACCACAGCGTCAACAGTTGATGAATCATGATTCTGTGATCATTATGTACCTAATATAGCCCTAATATCCCATACAACATTAAGGATGAGAACGATGGAATTCTATTGGAAAGCGTATGCAGCAAACCTAAGCCGGACCTTTCTGGGCCAACAGCTGCAACTAGGCTTTCACGCGGTCCCGATCTAATAAACATGGATAAGCCCTGACTCTTTAGGTAAATATCCTCTAACTCAGATGATGTTAAAGATGTGCTGTTAGCATCTCACGTCCTAAAAACTGAAGGGGAAATGAGGGTTCTACCAGATATCCTACACTCAGAGAGGACGGCCATAAACTGTCGGTTGACAGTCGTGAGAGATACTTTAGAGGAAGGAACCTAATATAAAAGGCGTACCTGTCACCTGCAGTCAGCGTACAGCCTGACAACGAAAAGCTGTTACAAAAACAGAAAAAATTGGAGATGGTTGTACCTTTGGAAGACTGGTTGAATGTAAAGAACGAGGAAGGGGGGAACACTACACTGATGAGCCTCACTTGAACAGGTACTCATCCCCCACACCTAGGGACCTAGCCAACCAACTGGACAGGGAAGTGGACTCAAGAATTAAATTCCGAGTAGATCGCATAAATTTTATCTACAAAAATGCACAAAGTTCGCCGAATAAACTCTATAAACTGCCGAAACTAAGTAAGGACGCTCGTGCTCATCTTATCGGTGTTAATGTGACATAGTTTTCTCCTGGTATGTTAGGTCCAGGATCTGACAGTTGCTAACACTACGCTGTTTCTCAACTACAAGAGGGCTTGGAAGGGGGATGGGGTAGCACTTTGTGTTACTCTTCTCTCACAGCTAACCAAGTCCGCATTCAAGAACTAGACTGCCTCAAGGAGTCTGTCTGGTGTTCCATAAAGCTACCAAAGACTGCAGAGTGCTTTGTGGGAGTCATTTGTAGGAACCCATCTGCTAACTTACAGTATGATCAAATGCTAGAGGCAATCAGTCGCTCTCTTAAGCTGGGGGATATACATATACTAATTCTGGGAGAGTTTAACCTACCAAAGGTTAACTTTGCAGATCATACATTCAGCGGGAGTGATTTCATTAAAGCCCGATTCTTCAATCTGATTGAGGGACTGGGGCTCACGGAAACTGCGAGAACAGTAACGCGATGAGGGAAACAAACTCCATCCCGCTTAGACTGCATCTTCACAAATGAAGAATTAGTGGTAGTCCTTCCTCCTTTGGGTAGAATGATCACGTTGTTATCGGCTCCCAGTGTATCTGTGAAACCGAGCTTGAAAACCCTGGACACCCACTCCGTCACTTATTGAATCTCAGTTGCAGCACCAATGAGCTTTGTCGTGACTTCAAACGACTGAACATTCCGGCTATTCGATGGCGCTAAAAGAGACATACTGAAAGTGAACCATGTATGGTAGGATGTGAGCGCCCACTGGAGATTCATACTCGACAAAATCATGCATTTCATCAGCCAGTCTGTTCGACTTTCAACGCCGAAGTGGTCAAAGTTGCCTATGATAATAAGCAACTCTACTCGCAATTCATGTAGGTTAAAAAGACACTACTATGCGGAACCGTAAAAGAATGGTGTCGAATACAGATACAGACTATTTAAACAAACAAGAAACATGTACGGAGGCATTGGAAGCTGATCAGCAACGCATCAAGTAAAGCTAATAAAAATGTTTGTTTCTTACCCGTGAAGTCTGTACCGCTATGCTGCATCGTTCCGACATGCTAATGCGGGAGTCTCTCAACTACTAGAGCCTAACATGCTGAATAGTAGCGATACTGAAGCAGCTGAGCTCCTAGCTGACCTATATTTGCAAATCTTTTCTCCATGGTCTACCTACTCGGGAGTTTACGAATATCTCACTAACGAAGTAGGACTGTCGGTTGTTGACCTCGGTGTTGGTTAGTACAGTGCAAGCTGTTACTGCTCACAAAAGACAACTCGCTGGGGCCAGACAAGATCCATGCCGTAGTACTTCAGGGTGGAGCACCAGTCTTGTCTGAATCATCAAGCAAGTTATTTAAGGATTTCCTAAATCAAGGGAAAGTATCTGATCCTTCGGAGTTGGGCCACATTACGTCAATCTTCAAAAGAGGTCAACGAAGCAACCCAAAGAATACAGATTGGTGATGCTCTTATCTATAACTTCCGAAGTAATGGAATCATTATTTATGAAGGAATAGGGGTCATTATATTAGCTTCTTTACGCCCCAGCAACACGAATTTAGAAAAGGGTACTCCTGCATTACTAATCTGCTCACTGCAGTCGATATATGGACTAGTATTGTCGAGCTCGAATTGGTGTTATCTACCTAGACTTCGCTAAGACGTTTGATCGTGTTAATCATGACTGCCTTATTGATAAATTAAAATTAATCGGGATCAAACCACCGTTCATTGACTGGCGATCCTCATATCTATGGGTCATTCATTTAGAATTCAAGTGAGTTTCTCTATATCTGAAAAAGCAGAATGTCCTAGTGGCATTCCTCAAGGTTCAGTACTAGGGCCTCTCCTTTTTCTAATATACATAAAATGGCTTGCATCAACACGTTTCTTCGAAATCCTTTTTGCCGATGACTTGGAGCTACGGAGAAAAATCAGAGGCCAGGAAGACTGTTTCTCTACAGGAAGACTCAACCCAACTTCAAACTGGGCAGTTAGTGATGGACTCGCATTTAACTCTGAAAAATGCAAGGTCGTACACGTAAAACATGATACATGTTATGTATGAAACTTGAAGCGTCACTAACAGGATTTGGGCGTTTTAGTCCCTCAAGACTTAAAACCATGTGCAGACTGTGACAGTAACACATTACATAGAAACTTGGCTTTAGTAACCCCCAGACAATTTAAGGACAATCCGATCATAGGTGTTTTCACGAAATTTGTAGCAGCTTCATACGGCCTCACTGGAGTTAGGAACTATCGTCTTCACCCTCTCTCCAGAAGAACAATTAAGCTTAGAACGCATCCAGAGGCATTTGACTAAATCTGTTGCATGACTTAGTTTGAGACATACGAAGAACGACTTGTTGCGCTTGACCTATATCCTCTGGAGTATGGAAAACTTAGGGGAGGCTTGAAAATGTCTCAAAACGTCTTGAAAACCCCTGGACACCCACTCCGTCACTTATTGAATCTCAGTTGCAGCACCAATCTTAAAGGAATCACACATAAACTAAGCCTATGACGTAGCAGTTAGATATCAGACACTACTTCTATTCCCTAAGAGTTGTTAAACCCTGAAATGCTCTTCCTGAAGAAGTGATCCGGGCTACTTCGTTTGAATCCTTCAAACGCTGAGTTGACACTTACTTGAGATGTGGGTGAGATCTGTTCAGACCAACTGAAATTTCAAATTTAACCCCCACCTTTTGCTATCTCTCTAACTGTACACAGGTTTGAAACCACAAGGTTCTAGACGCGAAAGCCAGTTAGGCGAAATCTATTCCGTCAACAACCATTTGAACCATTAGTTATCAAACGTAACTTCTCTTGACACTTGCACATAACACTTAAGTCAGTCACTTCAGTAATTAGTCGATAATGACATGTACAATAGTTTGGTCACCCTGGTTTAAACCTCTCAGTAATAAGCCTTACAAATACCTAGTTTTCTCTCTGCCTTCGTTTAATGAAGGAGCTGACGCTACTTGGCCTTCAGGTCAAACAGCAAGGGGAAACAAAGCAATGGAAGGTGGGAAGTTCAGCATTCCAATTCTCCAGGCGTTTTTCCCAAGAATCTTCGCTACCTAGATTATCGCCACATGGTCACTTCCTTATTTTACCTTGGTTATTCCCCTTTCAGTGAAAGTGGCCTTATTTCCTTCCTCTCTGCTTTCCCCTGCCGAATTCGCCTGTACCTAAAGTGGCAAAAAATGCTGGTAACATTTTGGAAAACATTTGTGTACCACATAGGTCTAACATATATCAGTATTTTACAGGAGTTGCGTACATGTTTACAGAATAACAGAGGATTCTTTCTGATGCGCAGTTCTGTTTGATTCTATGGCAGAGTATGAAGTAGTCATGGAATGCATGGCCCCAATTCACTGTCTCTCAATACGTATCCCTAAAAAAGTAAAGGTTAACAGCTACACTAAGATAATTAGTAATTTCTGGGATGTACTATTGATGACGAAAGGTGTATCTTAAAGTTTGTCTAATTCATCAAACTTACACTTAGAATGTCTTGTATGTTTTCTTGTTGCGTATATTCTACTAAAAATGGCGTGAATATCGGTGCAATTCATAAATCAGGTCTATAAAGGTTTAGAAGGATACGTACCAGTACTTCGCCTGCTAACGCGTTGCTTGATCTAGTAACGAGTATTAATCTCTCACCACTATGCAGAAGCATTTGTACTTCACTTAAATTAAGTCTATGTTACAGTAGAATCGGTGGAGGATTGCCGCTCTTTATGGAGTACATGGTTAAACTCCGATCATGCACTAGTACGGGCTCGTGTATGTCTGCGCCTTACTGGTGGCAGGAAACAGGCAGCAGTGAAGTCTGTCTATGGTCGATTGGAAGGTGAGAATGTCAGGTCCGAATTTGGGTAAGGGATAGCTAAGCAATGCTTATCGTGAAGAAACCTGATGTGACATTAAGTCTGTTATAGAAACAGTGGTAATTACAATCGGTAACCTGTACCCGGATGTTAACAGACGTCTTTGTATTTCTGCGACCTTATCGCAACTGATTGATAAGAAAAGACTGATTCCAGTGGACTCTGACCACGATGAAGAGCGGAAGGAGCTTAAGCGTAACTTGACCAATGGTCTTCACGCTGATCGGGAGCAGTGGTTGGTAACGAAAGCGAGACAGATGGGGAACGCATGAGTAATGGATAGCAGTCGGTAACTATTCAGACTTATTAGAAATACCGCCAAGAAGAATTCAATGGTAAGTGAAACTACCACAGAAAAGAATGGAATGAGGATAACCTCTCAGGACGGGAAGCTAAAACGTTGGGCAGAACACTCAAGTACAGTTCAACTGGCCCCCCTGCCACGCTTCAGTTGCCCACATTCAACCTGAAACTGAATCGAGCATATATGTTGTTCGTCCACATCTCCTTGAAGTTGATGAAGGGGTGTCGAACCGAAAGTGCTAGAAAGTAGCAAGATCTGTTAGTTTTCCACCTGAAGTATTCAAAGATAGAGGTAGCAAACTGATAGTTAAAATGATGCAGGTAGAAGGTATTGTATGGGAATCAGAGTTATTGCCGTCTCAGGCATACTTCACTGATCATCCAAGTCTACAAGAAGGCAGAGAAGTCTTGTGATCACTGTGGAAATTAGTTTTGACTATATTGTGTAGAAGATCCTAGAATCTATAGTTATCCAACGCCTAACTGGTGCTCAAGAAAACCAGGCCGGTTTCAAACCTAGACAAGGGTGCCTCGATCATATGTTCACCCTCCGAAAGGTTCTGAAGCATAGGCATAACTACCGACCATTGTGCCGATACTTGCCATATTTCTAAACCTGAAGGCGGCATTTGATTCTGTCAACCGTGAGGTGTTGCAGCAGTGCCTGACTGTGAAGGGAGTAGCGACGAAGTATATGGCTCTAATCAAAGCTGTCTGGTCGAACTCTTGCAGCCATGTCAGGGCTCATAAAGAGTTGTCACTTGAGGTGACGACACCTAGCGTTATTCGCCAGAGATGCCAGCTATCACCGTTGTTATAGAACTTCGTCATAGACATACTAATGGACATTACCTTGAGTACAGGGATTGATCTTCTCCCTGGAGGTCATCTAGTTGACTTGGAATATGCTGACGATGTTGTCCTGCTGGATGAAGATGCTGACAAAATGCGAGGTCTTCTGAACGAATCCGTTGGGCAGAAATCTGAATATGTTTGGCACGTGTTTCACTGGCACCTGTCAAATGTGAGATGATGCTGCAGGAAGGACTGGTCTGCAACCACTCACAGTTTAATGATAGGGAGTGAGGTGGTAGAACGTGTCGATCACTTCACTTACTTGGGGAGTCACATCAGCGCTTGAACGGGCTGGTTGCTGACGAAATGTCACCTCGAATACTGAAAGGCCGTTTGTTGCTTGCTAACTGGCGTCATTTGTGGCGCCAACTGGCGAGATATCCGACTATGTATCGAAGGACGAGTATACTGGGCTACAGTCCGTTCTGTCCTGTTATACATCTGTGAGACATGGCCATTGAAAGTATAAGACATGAAGCGATTACAGGGTTTTGATCACAGATGTCTCCGTAGCATTGCTCGCATTTGGTGGATCACCGTGTGAGCATTGTTGAGGTCAGGTGAAGGATACTAGATAAGACAGACAAGTCGGTTGATGATGTTGTGAACCTGCCTCGGATGAGGTGGCCTAGACACATACGTTGCGTTTGGTGAGAAGCTACCGCCTAACTCGAAGTGCTATGTTAAGGGAAGTTGGATTAAGTTGGAAGAGAGTCCAAGGTGACCAGACGAAGGTGTGTCACCAGTTGATGAAGTGGCTGACTGTTGGTGTGTGTATATGGAGACCATGTTGTTGGAGTCTCTGAGACGATAGGAATGAGTGGTTGAAGACTCTTGGTGATATGGCTGAAGATCGGTGAGAATGGCGCAGATGTATTCACTCTTCGATGTCTTCTAAAGCTGGAATATTTGTACTAACCTTTATCTTTAGATTTTTTATTCTCTTACACAACTTAGTATGCTGTGGTCAAAAACATGTAGTCTCTAACGAACCTTATGAGAAATTCAGAAAACTGCTTCTTTTGCCTTGTTTTACAGTTGAAATGTAACTTAATTGAATACGTCTTCAAATATTTAGGTCTTAATGCTGTTTCGTCATTGTCAAGACCCTCATACCTTTTGGCTCAGAAACTAACCGAAATAATAATTGTCTACACTGAGAAAGCAGTTTCTGTTGTTATTACATGTGCCCATTCCATCCTGCTGAATATCGTGATCTGAAAAATTAGGCGTTGCTGCCAGTTAAACTAATGGCAAACAAGCAACTGTAGGTTATGCCATGAAGTTGCACATGTTCTTTTACGTCGTTGTTGCTCCCCATAAATGCTGTCATTTTCATGCGAAGTCAGCGAACTACTGACTCAAAAACGAATATTTTTTCGTATTATATGTGTTCTTGTGTTGATTAACTGTTTTTTTTTGTAGACTCATTTTGAAGAATCATCCGGTGTAATTCGTGCTTCTTTTGAATGGGGGTGCTGGTGGCAGACTCTTGAAGAAGTGTACATTGAAATTTCATTTCAACAGACTGTCAATGTGAAGCAAATTTTATGTGAAATTACAAGCAATGCAATCACTTGTGGTCTTGTTAATCAGCAACCATTATTGTCAGGTCATTTATTTAGCAATGTGAAAGCAAGTGAATCGACATGGAGCCTTCAGGAAAAACAGCACGTAAGTTCTTTCCACTTGTAGTTAGGAAGTTCAGGTACAGTTAACAGAAGCCTCTTCTAATCTCTACTGAATACAATATCGAACTGCCCATTAAGAGTTGAATATTGTAAGTTTCTCCATTAACTTAAGGTGAAGTGGTTGAGTCAGTATCTGAGTAGCCAAGATGCTGTTTGTTTGACTAGAGTTACGTAATTTAGCTGCACATTTCATAATCGAGTGTCTCGAAGTTACAAAAAGCATTTCTTTTTATAAAACAATGCTGAAAAGTGTGTAGCTTAGGCTGTAATCTTCTTTTAATGAAACAGGATATTTCTTTCGTTCTATTGAAGACGAAATGATTTCTTGTGGAGGATATTTTCACTTTTTTATCCCCTTAACAAGGTTTAATAAAACTACCCACTTTTAACATAAACCATCAGTATCTAGTGTTTGCGTACAGAGCTTGGGACACTGAAATATGTAAAATACGCTTCTGTACAGTACTAGATATATATAAACAAGTGATGAGTTACCATTCATGGGTGGATAATACAGTTACGATGGACTCACAGTAGGTACAATCTAGATGTTCATATCATATGCTTCTGTCTGCCTTCACTTCCTGACTTCAATGTTAAGCTTCTTACAATTTCCTCAACCTCTCACTCTGCAACAATCAAAAACGATCAAAGCTATAAAAACACCATTCCTAGTTTCCTAAATCCCCATTGTCGGTTTCATGTTAAAGCTTTGAACGTCTGAACCCTATACCAAATCAGAAAAGAGCTATCTCTTGCTGGAACTCTTGAGTCTCGGAACATGGATTTTCGCTGTCTCGGAGACACGTATACACGATTCGAGTGTGATTATTCACTACTCACTGTGTAGGCATAGCATCAAGTTGTAGAGCAGAAAACGCACTGCTGGACTGGAGACTAGTTAACAGCCCTATATGTGTGCTGTCCGACTGCATGGATCCGTAAGAACTAGGAAGGATTGTGAGACCGACCGATACCTATTTATAATCTCCGCCTACGCTTCCACCGACTTCAGTTCGGATGGTGCAAAGGATGAATTCTATGAGAAGCTGTCAGTTTAGCTACAGAAAGCAAAACGTCCAGGTGTAGTCAAAATAGCAAGCTATTTCAACACCAAGTAGAAGGCTGAGCGGATCGGAAGGACATCTTGGAGGTAATTATGGAATGCTATGCCAACAAACCACCACCGGTGGTCGTCTGTTGCAATTTTGTTCTGACAGTCACTTGTTTCTGTTCAGCACTAAATTCAAGCAAGAGGAGGGACACTGTCTGACTTGGCGTCAGCTGACATCAAACCAACGATAAACATAGAGCGTACTGCAATAAGTCATTGTTGAATACGGTCGGTGAAGGATTTTCGCTCTTTCTGGAGTGCCAGTTTGGACTCCGATCACGCGTTAGTACAGGGACGTGTATGTCTGCCTCGTACTGGTCGCAAAAGCAGGCAGCAGTTATACCTGTGCGTGCTCGATTGGAAGATGAGGACGTGAGGTACGTATTTAATGAGAAGATAAGTAAGCATTCACTTGAATGTGACAGCGATGGTCATCGTGAGGAAAACTGGCGTGATATTAAGTCCTCTGTGAAAACAGCGGTAATGAAAGTTGGTAACACATCCAAAGGTTATCAGACCCCCATGGGTTTCCACAGCGTCGTCCTAACTGATTGGTGCGAAAAGACTCACTCCAGGCGCCTCTGACCACAATGAAGAACTTATGCAATGATCGCGAGCGGTGGTGAATGGCCAAAGAGAGAGAGAGAGAGATGGAGAATGCGCCAACATTAAGTAATACTTGGTAACTATGTAGGCTTTTTAACGCGACGAGTGAGACCATCTCCGAAAAAGGTGGCACGCTGATTGGCTCTTAGGACAGGAAGCCAAAGCGTTGGGCGAAACACTTTGAAGCACAGTTCGTCTGGCCCACAATGACACTTCAGTTTCCAATCCGAACTTAAGTGCAACATAACTGTCCATCCTCTAACTCTCCTCGAAGTTAAGAATGTTGTTTCGAACCTGAATCGATGCGGAGCAGAAGAACCTGACAGTCGTCACTCAACGTTTTTAAGGAAGGAGGCACCGAAACACTGAGTTGAAAAACGAAGACAATAGGTACGAGGATCACAGGCAGTTGCGTTAGACTAGTGTACTTATCCAACCATACTTACCGGTGGCCGACACTTGCCATATTTCTTGACCTGAAGGCGGCATTTAAGTCTGTCGACCATGAGGTGTTATGGCAATCTCTGACTGTGAAGGGAGTACTGAGCAAGTGTATAACACTAGCCAGCGCACTTTACTAGAACTCACACCGTGCGAGAATGTATAAACCACTTGACTGAGGTCGCTTAGACCATAGGAATCAGTGGTTGAGGAAATGACTGAAAATCAGTGACAATGGCGTAGGTGTAATAACTCGTCCACGTCTTCTAGAGCTTGAATATGTTCACTAACCTGCATTTCAAATTCCCCCTCCTATACACCTTTGTCTACAATAATATCAGTATTTTTCTATCCACTTCTTCTTTACATGCAGCTGTGAAATGTGGCAACTTGGACCAATGAACTTCTGTACGAAGTTCTTCATTGATTTTGTCTGTCTGCATCTGTTTGGGATTGTTTTGTTTTATCTAGCTGTCGTCATTTGAACATTGCCAGTACAAACTGTTTGATGAGAACGCGGCTAAATTCTCATTTTATGAGTATCTGCCGAAGTATTCTGAAGAATTACACTGAGCTAATTGAAGCTTGTCAGTATGACGTTTGACATTTTTGAAAGTCATTTAGTGACTAGGTATGTTCTCAATGCACAAAACAATGGAGTTTTTTTAAGCCGTATCAATAGAGTTTTGTTAGTTTTAGATATAAACTACCGAAATGTGTAAGTGATATATTACAGTAATCTGGCTGACAAAATATTAAGATTATTACTAAATAGCCTAAATCCTTTCGTAAGGCCGTGCACAACAGATTTGGTCTACTGAAATTACGTAACTTCTTTGGTTTATCTAAACTGGCACCATTGGGATCTGTCGCACTCGAAATTAATTTTCATATTTAATAAACAAATTGCAGCAAACATAATTTTTGCTATATCCTACTCTTAAAACCAAAATTCTTCACCTAATGTAAAAGTAATGATCAATAGTTTGATTTTGTAAACCTATTGAAATTTCTGCATACTGCATCACTGACGCTTTTTGTTCAGTGAGCATTCATTGGACCATTCACCAGACAACAGTCCGTAACGCAAATGAATGGAGGATCGTACGGCTTGGCAGTGTAACACTTCCTGTTATAGTCCTTAAATGGTTCTAGTCAATAGTAATCACCTTGACCAAGTGAGTTTATATTTCGAGCACTAATTAAAACACCAGTTCTTTCAAGTACCGCCATCTCATAAAGGCAGACTACAGAGTCGTTAAACCAAAAGCAGTTGCCTTCATGATGTACGTAACCTCATAATCATAAATATCAACATAGAACCAGGCATTTCCGCATAACGGTTCAAGTTCCCACACTTCCTACCACACTAAGTAACGAAGAAAAATATGAAAGATGAATAAATAAAAAGTCGATCAAAAGACGAAGAAAGCAGTAAACAACAGGAAGGAAGAATAACCAAATGCTAAGTTTAGTATAACGATTAACACAAAGATAATGAGTCTATACATCAGCACCACTGATATCGATTCTCAACTGTATCTTCTAGATTCTCCAACCAATGGTTTCTGTTATCACACTAACCCCAACCGGCTAGTATGCATCTCCTAGCGTGGCTTAAACCAACACTCAAGGACTTCATCCAGCGATCACACATTTTAGTCTTGCCGCTCAAGCCCTTTTCTAACCTAAACCTACTTCAACTTACATTGCGCGAAAGACAGATGGTAACTAAGCATGCGTTACACCAGTCCCATCCGTTCTCCTCTCCTTCCTAATATTCTACACTGACGCCATTAAACTACGACCCAGGACTTTTCTATGAAGTCAAACGTGGTTAAACACATGAAGCGTTCTCATATCCTCTTCCTTTCATGCCCATGTTTCACAGCCATACAATAGAACAGATCGAAAAGCGGCGCAGCCCACTCGAGCCTAAATAGAAGACCGAATATCATAACGACGCAACAGATGCCGAAAGCCAATCAACCCCTATTTCTATCCCTCCAGATGTGCTAACGACCACTGGCCCACACGGGATTATCAGACATACGACACAAACAAAATAGTCTACGCGCTCAACCACCTAACCCTCTAGTGTTAGCCAGGGCATGACCGAAGACCAGTGCAACAGTTTGCACTTCGGGGGTGAAAAGCGCATTCGAAACATTCTCAAATTGCCACACAAGGTGTGAAGAGGACTCAATCTTGCCAACACTTTTATCGAACCAAACTATATCGTCCGCATACTATTCTAGGTCTACTGAGGATTCTCCTATGACAAAATAAATCCCCGTGTAGTCAGACGAGAGGAACTCCTCCACAAGTACGTCCACGATAATGTTGAGTAAGTATAGAGAGAGTGAACATCCTTGACGGTCACTACTTAACGTACGCAACACAAATAATGCCTCATTTATAGGCTCTGAGAGTACAGAGCCTTCAACAGAGTGATGTACTTACCGGGTACTCCTTTCAGTGGGAGACATCGCCAAAAGACCTCTCAGTCGACGGGATCGAGTGCTGCCTTCACCTCGAGAAATACAGCTAGTGTCAGGCGTTAGTAAGTGTACCTGCATTCACTTACATGCCTGAGTGTAAATATCTCGTCGACACACCCACGATAAGGTCTGAAACCTGGCCAGTTTTCTCCGGTTCGCAGTGAGAAACTGGTTCGACAGTTATTGGAACAGAGCAATATCACTTATCCACAGGAAGCTCCGCACCATCTCCAGTCTGCTGTAAAAATAGCGTCAAGGAGCGTATCTGGTTTTCGGAAAGGGATTAGAAAGAGCCACCGGATCGCAATAGCTTCTTCTGAATTAATGGATGCACGTAAACGTTAAGTAGTGACCGTCAAGGATGTCCACTCTCTCTATACTTACTCAACATCGTGGACGTACTTATGGAGGAGTTCCTCTCGTCTGACTACACGGGGATTTATTTTGCCATGGGAGAATCCTCAGTAGACCTAGAATAGTATGCAGACAATATAGTCTGGTTCGGTGGATGCGTTATTCAATGCCGGCCCGAATAGTTCAGTCGTAACGTACCTGTCTGTACCACTGGGTGACTCATGCTTTAAACCTAGGTTCTCAGTTTCCTGTTGTTTTCCTCCATAGAAGTTGCCTCTATGAATGTGCATCGCGATGCTGACGTGAATAGTCTGGTAACCACGTTGCAAAATGAACGATAGAATTCGATCAGCACTACAGACTAGACAACATGAAGTTGGTAACCCTTCAGTGACCAATCAATCATGCACCTTCGGTTGTCACGAGAAGGCTTCTGTCTCTTCTTGTAGACTGTAGTGATTAGTGAAGTACACCACTGTGATAGAACTGCTTTCGATTTTTATGCATATTGTCTATTCGGAGTTTTGATGCCTTATTCACTAAAAATGTTGGGTGAAATCGTCAGATTCTGCTGCTTCTCGTCTTTTCAGGTTCGAAGCAACATTTTGATTTTTGGGCAGAGTTAGGGGATTGACAATTACATTGCACCTAGATTTGGGCTGGAACCTCAGCAACTGAAGCATCATTGTCGGCCAGATGAACTGTGCTTCAAAGTGTTTCGCCAAACTTTCTAGCTTCTTGTCCTGAGAGGTTATCATGGTCCTACCCTTCTAGGTTGTGTTCTCAATGACCTGGTTTTCCTCCTGTGAATTTCCTCTGCAAATCTATAACACTGTCTTGTATTACCTAGAACTGATGCCTTCGCCATGGTTTTTTTCTTTCACCGTCCACTACTACTTGGGATCATCGAGAAGACGCTTAGTCAGTTTACATAGCAACTGCCTTCGCTCCTTGTTATAGGACCACTTAGAAGGAGTCATCTTCCACCATCGATTTGGTATGGAGTTGTGGAAATCCACTCTCCTTTGCCAACCTTTGGACATAGGTTGTCATCTATGTTAACCTCTGTTTCTATGACAGACTGACTACCACACCAGAATTCATCCGAATGAGAACTGCTACCATGTTCACCTAAATGTTTTGTTGTCTCCTCTTTAAATATACACTTGACGTTTCTATATTCCAGTCGAGGGCTGAGAGGCTTCATTATGCTTGTTTTCTGTGGTCGTTAAGGTGTAAATATACTTCTCTTTGTAATAACCTGTGATCCGAGCGCAAATATGTATTTCGGAGCAAGTGGCAATCATACACCCATGCGTATTGACGACAGATTGCCGAAAAAACTAGCCAGGTTTCAGACCTTGTCGTGGGTGTATCGACGAGATATTCACAGTCAGGCATCTAAGTGAATGCATGCACACTTACCAAACGCCTGACACTAGCTGTATTTCTCGAGGTGAAGGCGGCATTTGACTCTGTCAACCGTGAGGTGTTGCAGCAGTGCTGACTGTGAAGAAGGTAGTGACCGAGTAAGTAAAGCTAGTCGAAGCTCTCTACTCGAACTCAGGCAGCAATATCAAGGTTTATAGCTATTTGACATCAGAATTGACAACAACTAGCGGTATTCGCCAGAGATGCCAGCTATCACCGTTGTTATAGAACTTCGTCATAGACATACTAATGGACATTACCTTGAGTACAGGGATTGATCTTCTCCCTGGAGGTCATCTAGTTGACTTGGAATATGCTGACGATGTTGTCCTGCTGGATGAAGATGCTGACAAAATGCGAGGTCTTCTGAACGAATCCGTTGGGCAGAAATCTGAATATGTTTGGCACGTGTTTCACTGGCACCTGTCAAATGTGAGATGATGCTGCAGGAAGGACTGGTCTGCAACCACTCACAGTTTAATGATAGGGAGTGAGGTGGTAGAACGTGTCGATCACTTCACTTACTTGGGGAGTCACATCAGCGCTTGAACGGGCTGGTTGCTGACGAAATGTCACCTCGAATACTGAAAGGCCGTTTGTTGCTTGCTAACTGGCGTCATTTGTGGCGCCAACTGGCGAGATATCCGACTATGTATCGAAGGACGAGTATACTGGGCTACAGTCCGTTCTGTCCTGTTATACATCTGTGAGACATGGCCATTGAAAGTATAAGACATGAAGCGATTACAGGGTTTTGATCACAGATGTCTCCGTAGCATTGCTCGCATTTGGTGGGATCACCGTGTGAGCATTGTTGAGGTCAGGTGAAGGATACTAGATAAGACAGACAAGTCGGTTGATGATGCTGTGAACCTGCCTCGGATGAGGTGGCCTAGACACATACGTTGCGTTTGGTGAGAAGCTACCGCCTAACTCGAAGTGCTATGTTAAGGGAAGTTGGATTAAGTTGGAAGAGAGTCCAAGGTGACCAGACGAAGGTGTGTCACCAGTTGATGAAGTGGCTGACTGTTGGTGTGTGTATATGGAGACCATGTTGTTGGAGTCTCTGAGACGATAGGAATGAGTGGTTGAAGACTCTTGGTGATATGGCTGAAGATCGGTGAGAATGGCGCAGATGTATTCACTCTTCGATGTCTTCTAAAGGTTGTGTATTCAGATAGTTTTTTCTATCCTACTTTTTCATTCTCTTGGATATAATTCTTCTTTAATTCACCTATTCCTTATATACTACTCTGAAATGTGGTAACTCGAACCGATTCATCTGTGTGCAAAGTTCTGTGTTGAATTTGTGTGTTTGTCTGATGGAGAAATGAACTTGACGTAAAATGGTGATTCTAAGCTGCCTAATCATCTCACGGCTGATTGGGATTGGGAAGCAGCATAGTTTGGAAATTCAGGCAGGTTGTGTATTTAACCGTTGGTATGTCGACCATATTTCCACCTTATACACTGACCACTTCATTCTTGTAACCGACGAAATCTTTTCACCAGTACTAATTGCTCAATAGGATGTTGCCATCGTATAATACTTTTCGTGCCTGTGAGAAATTTTATCCATTATTATGGGTTGTTTCTCGTGCTCGACAGTTCGCTATACGACTGTGTAACGTGGTCATTAGAGTTAAATGAAACAAGAAGGTTCTAACTGTTTGATCACTGTTGTCTTCGTTGAACCAACCTCATGTTACGAAATTATTACGTTGACTTCATACAGATTAAATGCAGTCCTGAGTGAACGAGGTAAGTCAGCCTATAAAGTTTTAGACTGGAGTGGTTATACCCGTGTCGCGCTTGTTTGAGGCGCTAGCTATCTATCCAAACGCAAAACCTTCGGATCGGGTTGAGATAAAGGTAGCCAGACTCAAAGTTGACATCATACCATAGAGTCTCTTACTGCTTATTTGAACTTTGAGACAAAGTAAACCTCCAGATTCACAAGAAAAGCAGGACCATTGTCTGAAGACTTTAGGTAATGTGGCGCGGATGTATTTATATCTTTAATCTTCATCACATCATGTTCGTTTCTTTGTTCTACTTCTCCTGCTTAATGTCATACAGCTTTCTTTGACCTCCCAGTATATTCTCTGTATTCTTTTTTCTATCTACCTTTGTGTTAAATGTGATAACTTAAGTTGATACACAATTGTGTATCACCACTTTCTGTTTTAATAAAAGTGATCTACTTTTCTTTGAAGCCGAATATTTCATAAAATTTCATTGCACCTGAAAATTTCATGCTAAATTTTTTCGTACTACGGTGTCTTCTATTTCGTAGATGAGTATATGCCTAGTCAAAGCCAATCCGGGTTTGTGTTGGCATTCGCTTATGACTGATAAGTGGAAAGCAAATCCATTAATTTTCGACCAAATGGAACGAAAACTCACCCTTCAACGATTGCAAACTGAAAATCCTGGTATGGACTTTAGTTCAGCTGAAATATCAGGGAACTACCACAATGGTGGACCAAGACTTCCTGTGTGATTTTGCCTCCAGTCTACTATTATTTTGTAAATAAAAAATAAAATTTCAGAACCTTCACTTTTTATTCATTAGACGCTGTTTCATGTTACTTACTGTGTAGTTTTGTTTTTCAGAATGCTGACAAAACTCTACTTAACAGGACCTTTGTTCGTGCGTGTGAATCTGAATTGTTAACGTGCTCTACACCAAAGGAAGATTCTCCTCCTACATTCGATGGTGTTCAACTCTCAGGTCAAGAGGCACGAAATTTTTATGAATCACTTACACAATGTGCAACTAGGAAATTAGAATCTTCATCCTCCAATCAAACTTCTTGTGAATGTACCTTGTGTGGAGTTTTTTTTGACGACTATAAAAAACATGTTTCGTCTATAGGCCATCAGGTAGCAGAGATGTCTGAAAGAGTGACAAGACCTTCACCTTTGCTGATCCCTCCTTCTAATAAAGGTTACCAGCTTTTAACTCGAATCGGTTGGTCCGACTCTGCTGTTGATGTAAACAGTAATCATTTGAGTGCTTTCGAAACACCGTCAGCGGATACATCTTCGTCATCCAAGTCACATTATATTGCTGAAGGTAGTGGTTTAGGTGCTCATAGGCAAGGTCGGCGTTTCCCTGTTGCAACTATTCTAAAACGTGATCGTCTTGGGTTCGGTTGGCCAAATAGCACAAATACTGCGAAGATTACACACTTCAACTCAGGTGATATAAAAGCAGTTGAAAATCCAGCGGATGTGAAACATCATCGCTTATCTATTAAATTAGACTCAAAGTATTTAGTCCGAAGAAATAATCGAGAAAAAAAAATAGAGCGTATTATAAGACAAGAATTTAATCTAACTGAAGACCAGTTAGCTATACTTCGCGGAAAATGAATGTCCAACTGCTTTTCTTACCCAATTAAATTTAAACGTGTACATGTATATTCCTTCTCAATTCTTATTGTATATAAGTATATCATTTTTACTTTCATCTATATTTGGCAACCTTCTGTTTCATTTAATACACAAAACTGTCAGGAACGGTGTTAAATCTGAAATTAGTAGTTTGGAATAAACACTATCGAACTTGGATCTCAGACTTTTATAAAAGCTGTGTTACCGACTTCACGAAGGGGTTCCTTGGGTTATGTGTCCATCCAAAATTGATCCAGTTCCTTCTCCTAGTATTTCAAGAAGACGTGACTTTTCATGGTGTAAGCAGAGCAAGAATGTTAACTGCCCTCACAACTCTGGCAGATCACTGTCAGCTCTCCGAATTCTTACCTGCTAACTTTTCTTCACGTCTATATTTCTGTCGTCTTTAGCCTGTCTCAGCTTCGCAGTTCTCTTCTACAACGCTACGCTGCACTTCTAAGTTACTAATAAGGTAGCACAAAGAAACAACCTACGCTACAAAGTCAGCGTCGCTTAAACATCTGAAGCTTTCTCATATTATCCACCTTAATAGACATGCTTTGCAACCGTATAGTAGGACAGAACGAATAACAGTGCAGTACACTCGACCCTCAATAGGTAAGTGAATATCACGGTGACATTATATAAGGTGAAAGTCAGACCAGCTTCACATAAACATACAGAGACGTTGTCGGCCACTGACCAACCTATCAGGGTTGATCTGACTTCCCAGGTAAGTGAAGTGGTCAAGACATCCAACCACTTCATTCCTTGTTCATACACAAGGCATCAGCGAAAGCCAGCCCATAAGCAACAATCTGCAGTTGGGTGGCGCGGAACGCACCCGAAACATTCAAATCGCCACCTAAAGTGTGCATAAGACTGCATCTCCTCAACGTTTTTCACTTAACAGGACAATGTCATCTGCCTACTATTCTGGGTCTACTGAGGATTCTCTTGTGACAAAATAAATCCCCGTGCAGTCAGACGAGAGGAACGCCTCTATAAGTGCGTCGGTTATAAAGTTGAGTAAGAATGAGAGACTGGACATCCATAACCGAAACCACTTGAAGTACACAACACAAATGCTTCATCATAGACTCTAAGATGCCAAAGGAACTTTGATTACTGATCCTTCAACAAAGTGATGTACTTACATAGTACTCATTTCGCTGGGAGACTGTCGCAAAACCTGTCAGATGAAGGAGTCTAACGCCGCCTACAGGTTGAGAAACACGGCTGCTATTGAGGGTCCTTCGCGATATTTCATTCGGGAGACACCTGAATAGCGGGCAACGGGATAGTAACAGGAGGCCCGTCGAACTGTTCCTCCAAATATATCGTCGGCCATCCCTTTTGTCTCTTGTGTGAATCAAGCACACATCCATCCCTATCCGCTGTAGTCTCACTGACCACTGAAATCTTTGCACCAGTTTCTTCTTTTAGTTCGAATGACTGTGTTGTCACCTATCACCACTACCAATCCGTCTCCACATTCTTCAATACCAACCACTGTTAGCAGTCACTGGGTAGACTTCTTGTCTGTCTACATTTGAGTTGTTTCCACTCCTCATTGTGCTCGAAAATTGCAGTAATGCTTTCATGAGTAAGCATTAGTTCAGAAGAAGCAAGTGAGATCTCTTGGTCCTTTCTAACTACTTTCAGACAGTCAGCTCTGGTTTTTGATATTGTTTTTACAACGGCATGGAGATGACATAAGGCTTCTTTTGTATAAGTGACGTTACTCTGTGCTGATACTAATAACCATTTGGTCAGCTTCTTGTTGAAAGTGGGCTTATTATTCTTATTGTCAATTTGTTCTTGAAATGATCTTGTTGATGTAGTTTTCCCCGTCCATTTTTGTGCAGACACTTGTACCTTCATTGTATAAACGCGTGCTCCAGAAGGAGCGATCACTTTACACCAATCGTGTGCATAAATAGTTGATAGCAGCATGGCCAATCTGTGTTCATCGTTGATATGAGTTCAGTGAACACTTAGTAAGACAATGCTACATCAAGTAAGTAAAAGGTGATTATCTGAGCACAGATATACGTTCGTTCAGCTGGGAGTTTGTAAGTCCCAACTAAGTGCTTATCTGACTGACTCAGCCGACCCATGAGTGGACTGAAATCACTTCGGCTTTCAGTAGGAAGCTAGATAATATTTAGGAAAAAACATCTTTCACTTCATCCTAGCTGAATTCACTGGGTGTGTAAGCAGACATTAAAAAGAGAGAACGGGGAGCTTCAACACTACTCTTTGACCCCACTGTTTTGCTCAGTAGAAAAGCTCACACGCGACTGTCAGCAGGGATCCTGTCGAGTAATAGACGTTTGTATCATTTCTGCTATACTTACAACTGCAAGACCGCAAGAGTAGCCATCGAGTCTCCAGAAAACTTGGAGGGTTGCAAGTTTGCGCTTACATGCATCTATCAATTCAAATGATACAGTTGACATCCACTCTACCTCCTAATTCATTCTGAGAATCAGTCAGTCTTCATTGCTGTTTTTATAGCGGACCGAGGACTTCAACAGGCTTCTTCAGGATAAGTGACGCTGTCGTAACGAGTTTCGCTTTGGAGACAGCCTTACAACCCGGAGTCACTGAACAAAATGGTCTTCCAGTTGTAACTTTTAAACGTTTATTCATATGCAAACCTATTCATGCTCGAATTAATGCTGGGACACGGTTCTAGCACTTGCTCCACAAACAATATCAGTCACCCACCTACTCTGTCTAGCGATAACTGTTATCATTGTGGGGTATCTGTATAGATCATTGACTTTACTGGACACCATATCTTTATTTAAGAAGCTCCTGCTGACCAGAAGTATGTAGTTGTTTGAGCACAGCTGTAACAGGTTATCACCGTTATGCGTTTGTTCAGGTGGAATTCCAAAAGTTCTTCTGGCTTACCTAGTGTATTCACTCTTGCATTAAAATCACCTGTTATGACAACCATATCTGAACGTTTGGCTTTCAGTAGGAGGCTAGACACTTTTCAGTAGAACTCGTTCTCCACTTCATCCTAAATGCGGTCAGTGGGTACGTAGGCAGAGATTACAAAAACCTACGGCGACTGCCACTACTCCTTTTAGTCCTCACTGTACCATTCAATAACACAGCGCACAGGCGAGTATAAACTGCAATCCAGTCGAGCATAACAATTTATGCCTTAGTGCTTTATGCCATATCTACACCTACAAAACGGTGGGAACGTGGCATCCAAATTCTGGAAACTCGAAGGATAGCAAGTCACACAGCTATGGTAACTGCTGTCTGTCAGTAGTGAATTTAAATAGGAAAAGTAACAGTTGACAATATTCAGCATCCTCTTAAGTGAACACACACGCCTGCATTACTGTGTAAAAAAACATATTTATTATTAGTTGTCCTTTCCGTTCCTAGTGGAAAATGGGGCTTCAGTAGAACGTCCCATTCCACTCTGTTCTCTGAAATCTTTTGAACCTCGCTCCACGACTGTCCAGAAGCTTTCATTTCTTCCCCATATGATCTCCTCTATGTCACCCTCGGACGCCCAACTTTCCGTTTCCCATCTGGGTTCCACTCGAGTGACTGGCCTGGAGCGTGATGTCCCCGAATGGTCTTCTCAGTGCATGACCAATCCATCTCCACTTCCTTCCACTGCATATTTGTTGAGTGATAGGTTCTTGGTTGGTTCGTTGCCCGACTAGAGTTCCTTGTTGCTCATCCTTATTATTCTGGCCATCTGAGCTTTAGTAACGAACCAGCGTAGGCAGTTGTTGATGAATATCTGTAGTTTGTTGGAAATCCCTTTCGTAACGCGCCAAGTCTCTGAACCATATAGAAGCACTGACTTGACATTAGTGTTGAAAATCCGGATCTTGTTCCACATGCTGAGTGCAGTGCAGAAGATCTCCACACTGGTTTCAGGCTAATGAACGCCTGTCTTGCTTTTCCGATTCTGACTTTGATATCCTCATCTGTGCCGCCTGCAGTTGTAGCAGTGCTGCCTAGATAGGTGAAGGAGGTTACTTCCTTTAAGTTTCTCCCGTTTATCATGATTGGAGTTCGTTGTTGTTGGTGGTGCGGTAACTTCATCATCTCTGTCTTCTCTATATTCACTTGAAGTCCCGTCTTTGCTGCCCTGCCTCTCCTGACAACTTGTTAGTTTTTGCCTGTAGATCTTCAAGTTTGTGTGACATGAGACACAAGTCATCGGCGAAATCCAGATCTTCTAGGATCTTTTCCGCAGTCCAGCCAGCGTATCCCTCTCTTCTCACAGCTCCCCACTGTTGTCTGCTGCATGATCCAGTCTAGTCGACCACAATCAGGAATATCCTGGGTGATAGTAGGCAACCTTGTTTCACTCCTGTCCCCTGTCTTCACTTCAAAAGCATCACTGAGCTTCCCATTGTGAATTACTTGGCTGGCATGTGGCGTCTTCATATAGTTGTTGAATGAGGCTGATAAAGGTTTGCGGTATTCCGTAGTATTGAAGCAACTGCCTGCCAAATTACACTTGTCGGTCGACGTTGTCAAAGGCCTTCTCAAAATCGATGAAGTTGAGGTAGAGATGCAGTTGACTGCCATTCTATACTCTGTTCTATGATGATGTGTGGCGCAGCGTTGCAATTTGGTCGGCACATGATTTGTACTTCCTGAAGCCAGCCAGCAAGCCAGCCTGTTGCGGTCGTAGTTTTCAATTCAGTGGATCCTTTAGTCTCTCCAGGATGATGCGGCTTAATATTTTGCTTGGTGTGGGTGGACAGGAGAGTGATTCCGCACCAGTTCTTGCAAACACTGAGGTCTCCCTTCTTCGGGAGTTTGACAAGGTAACCCTTCTTCCAATCTACTGGCAGGTACCTTCTCTTCCTTCCAGACCTTCTGCAGTAGTGGTGTGAGCATGTCCGTTGTTGTCTCTGCGTCTGCTCTCAGTGCTTCTGGCGGGATCCCATCTGGTCCTTCTGCTTTCACACATTTCAGTAGCT